CCGGAGTGGGTAGCCCTATGTTTAACGTTTTAAACAACTTTAACCGTTATATTTCTCTCCTATCCCTAGGTGACTGAAAGGTATATGAGCTTGTCTTGGGCAGAAAAGAAATATCTAATACAACATAGTTATAAATTACATAATTATAAAATTATAGAAAACTAAGAACCTGAGGCTTAGCTGGACGTGGTGGTGCCCGCCTGACATCCCAACACTCGCGAGCGAGGCAGAGGCAGGAAAATCGCTGTGAGTTCAAGGCCAGCCTGGGCTCCACAGTGAGTTCAAGGCCAGCCTACACTACACAGTGAGACCCTGTCTCAAAAAAAGAAAAAGAAACTAAGGTCTCCTCTCAGGGAATATACAGTTTAACCTGAATGTTATAACAGTGTTTATAGAATAACTTTAAAAAATACAAAAATCTGAATATAAAGAGGGCTCCAAATAGTCTATGCAAAATGATTCTGGAAGCATGGAAGGTCCACTTTTGTAGGATTCTGTGTTAGGCTTCAAGAGGAAGAGATGGAAATTTGAAACCATCCCCCTTCTGAGTTACTAAAGTCTGAACAATAAGGCTATTATTTAAACAAATCAATAATTATAGATTCAAATAAAGGTTCACAATATCACAGGCAATCTGGGGTAAGGAAAATGCAAGGGGGAAAGTAGACAAGGGTTTATCATCTTTCCTTTCAGGATCCTGGAGAAAACAGAATCCCAGTGTATTCCTTTACAATTCTTGGCATCCCGAACATGCAAGAGTTTTCACTTCTATTACAGCCCTGGATATTTTAGTTCAAAAAGAAATATTAGATAATTAATCACCAGGATTGCTGAACTACATAGGTCATAATTACTAATATTTGAATACTTAATGTACCAGGCGTTTTTCTAAACAGTTTACAAGTTTACTAATTTAATGCTCTTTTTTTTCTCTCTCTCTTTGTAGTACTGGGGATTGAACCTCAGAGAGTGCTGACCTACAGCCACAGCCTTTAATTTATTTGGAGAAAGGGTAGCACTGAGTTGTCCAGGCTGACCTTGGACTTGTGATCCTCCTGCCTCAGCCTCCTGAGTCCCTGGAATTACAGGTGTGCACCACCACACCCAGCCACATTTCTTTTTTCTTTTTTGAAACAAGCTCTCACTGTGTAGTACAGGCTGGCCTTGAATATTCTTTTTCTTTCCTTTTTTTTCTGAGCAAAGTAAAAGTGAAGTGTGGGGGAGAAACTGGCTCTGCAGAGTGAGCTTGGGCCAAGTAAAAGAGGAAAAAGCAAGATAAAAGAACACCCTGGAGAAAGCAGGGCGGACTATCAGGAGGAAAAGCTGTGAGAGCTTGCCCTTGAATTTTCTACGTGCCCCAAAGTAGCCTCAAACTTGTGATGCCTCTGCCGCAGCCTCCCACGTACTGGGATCACAGGCGTGCACCACCATGCCTAGCCCTCATTTCATATTCCACTTTATGATACAAACTGCTATCATCTTCTTTTACTGATAAGGAAAATGAGGCTTGGAGAGGTAAAGTAAATCACCCAAGGGCACACAGCTAGAAAGTAGATGGGGGTTTGAATACTGGCAGTAAGGATATTTAAACACTAACTATATTTAATTATTGAAAGTTTCATGTTCCAGTTCTTGGATTCAATTTCCAATTACAATTGGGGAACCAGACCTAAAATTGTTGGGGGACTTGTCTGGTAGCAACAGAAGTTCCACTACTTACTAGTGTAGTCTTGTTATTATCAAGACTAATGTTGGATGTCACCAAAGAAAGCCCTTTCTTAAGATGCCATGTGGGAATGAGCCACAGGGCCTCACATTGCCTGACTTGGGCAGAGGGAACTAGAGGACACTGCTTTCCTCTCCACCCACAAGAAGCTGGGCCCAAGTTTAAAGCCCCACTTTCCCACTGACTGGCAGTCTGATGGCGGTCAAGTCACACCCCTGAAGCCCAGTTTCTTTGCCTCTCAGCTGGAGGTGACCGTCACCTTGTCAGCTCACAGGGTTACAGGTATGAAATGAACTGAAATAAAGAATTTGACAGCCAGGATCAGTTGCATGCTGCAGGAATGTTTGGGGTGGGTCCTTTAGAGCTGAAGTGTACAGAGGCTATGTCGGCTCAGATTTCTCAAGTCCAGACTGGATCACACACAGGTTGTTCTCAGGCAGCTCCAGAGAATTCTGGGTTGCAGGACAGACCAGCCATCCCATCCTGGACCAGGCCACATCATCAGGTAGGAAGCCTGGGGTCAGCCTGTGGAAAGTCACATGTTTTATTCCTCTTAAACTTGATTAATTCCTTCTCTGCACTGGGGGTTGAATTTATGGCTTCCCACATGCTAGGTAAGCACTCTATCATGCAGCCACATCCCTAACCCTTCTGATTGTATTTTTTGAGACAGGTTATGTTTTGGTCTCCCCGTTGATAGTCCTTCTGCTTTAATCACCCAGAGTGCTGGGATTATAGGCATGGGCCACTACATCTGGCTTTTAGAGACATTTTCTCTATCAGTTTTGCTCTTTTTTTTTTTTTTTTTTTTTTTTTTGCAGTGCTGGGGATGAAACCCAGGGCCTCATGCATGCTAGCCAAATGCCCTACTACTGAGCTAAACCTGTAACTGTGCAATTCTGTTTTAAGGAAGTTTTGTTTGTTGGTTATGCAGTGCTGGGACTCCAATCCAGTCCTTGTATGTGTTAGGCAAGTGCACTACCACTAAGGTATATCTACAGCCACTGGAGGGACTTTATCCATTCGTTTTTTTGGGTTTTTTTGAGACAGGGTCTCACTATGTAGTTCAGGCTGACCTTGAACTCACTATGTAGTCCAGGCTGGTTTTGAACTCAGAGGATCCTCCTGCCTCTGCCTCCCGAGTGCTGGGATTACAGGTGTGCACCACCACGTCTGGCACTGGTTTGCTGTTTTTCTGAGACAGGGTTTCACTGTGTAGGTTAGACTGGCCCTTGAACTCAGGATCCTCCTGGCTCAGCCTCCTGAATGCTGGATTTATATCTGTGTGCCATCACACCTGGTTTTAAGGGACTCTTTTTTTCCTGCCCTGGGAGTGGACCCAGGGCCTTTGCATTGAACTGCATCCTCAGCCCTTTTGTATTTTTATTTTTTATTCTGAGGCAGGGTCTTGCTAAATTGCTAAATTGCCCAGGCTGGGCTTGAACTTTTGATCCACCTGCCTCAGCCTCCCAGAGTGCTAGGATTACTAGCATGTGCTACCATCACATTCAGCTGTTAAGGGATTTTTTTTTTTTTTTTTTTGGTACCAGGGATTAAACTCAGAATCTTGCACTTCTGAGGCAGGCACGGTGCCACTGAGTTAAACCCCTGGCCCTTAAGGGACTCTTAATGGTGCCTGTGGTCAAGAGTTTGTTCCCCTGTGTTCCTGGTCAAGCAACTGATGGACTATTGGGGAGAATCTGTGTTTTTCAAGTTGCCCAGGGTCAGAGGCCAGGCTAAGGTCTCAGTGGAAATAGTTAAATACAGACAGCTCAGCAGTGACTCTCCAAGCTAGTGGTGAGCTCCAGTTTTAAAGTTACTCAGGTGATTCTAATGTCCAGCCAGGATCAAGACCCAGAGAACTAGGTGAAGGGGCCCTGTGCCAGGATCTGACTCAAAGCACAGAGAAGAGTGCAGGACCCTAAGTCCCTTGTAGCCCCGACTAGTTTAGTAATGGGTATCTGGGCAGGAATAGTGAGGGATGTGGCTAGGGTAGGTATGTGGAGAGCCTGAGATGCTGCATAGGCTGAGAAGTTTATGGCTAGTGTGACAGGCAATAGGGAGCCATGGGAGGTAACTGAGCAGGGACACAAGCAGTCAGTTTAGAAGTACAAGTGGAGTATCTTCATCTGGAATATTTAGGACCAGAGTGTTTTGGATTTCAGACTTTGGAACATCTCCCCTCTTGAGGATGGGACTCATGCCTAAACATAAAATTCATCTGTCTCCATATACAACTTATACACATAGCCTGAAGGTAATTTTATACAATATTTTTAGTGCATCTGTGATTTGGTTGTGACCTAGGTCACAGGTCAAAAGGTCAGGTGTGGAATTTTCCACTTGTGATGCCGGGTTGTAGCTCAAAAAGTTTTGGATTTTGGGGCATTTTGGACTTCAGATTTTTTGGATAGGAATGCTAATCTTGTATACAGGTTAGGAAATGTACTATAACTTTTCTAAAAGACTAGGCTAGCAAAAACTCCTACCCTTCCTTTTCCTCTGTACCCTCCATTCAAGGTTCAGCACCCGAGGTCAGGTACTTGGCACACTTCAGTGGAACGTGGCACAACCAACTAATGTTTGTTGACTGACCAAGTGTACACTCCTCAGTCAGCCCATCTGGATTTCAGGAGGGCAGGACCTAAGCCGGCCTCCCCTTTGCATGTAAAGCTAAAGGTGCTGATCCTCTCACCTTTCGCCTTTCCTCGGTCTGATTCCAGCTCTATCAATTCCGATTCCATCTCCCTGTTCTTCCCGCCCGGTCGCTCCGTTGTGGCACGAGGCCTCGGGGCTTTCCGGCACAGGCTCCAGGCTTCAGACCTGTCTTTCACCCATTGTTCAGTTTCCGGTGAGTCAAGTTCAACCCCAGGTTCACCCACCACAATGATGGCCACAGACACTTCTCCCCCCCCCCGCCCCCCCACACCTCGTAGGGAGGCGGCGCATTCCGGCTCGCTTGCCCGCCCGGCTCTGGCCACCCGGCCCACCCGCTAGGCGCAGAGGGGCGTTTCCCTCCCGCTGGCCGGTTGGCGGAGCTTGGGCCGAGCCCCTCTCCCTGCGAGCTGCCCGTCGGCCAGGCAGCGCCAGCCCGCGGCGGGCGTGGCTGCCATGGCCCGGCCCCCGGTCCGCCCCTGCCTTTGCCCCCGCCGCCGCCAGGCCCCCGCCCGGCCACTGGCCGCCAGTTCCTCTCCGCGTCCGCCCGCCCTCCCTGCAGCCCTCGCTCCCTCGCCGCGGAGCCCGCCTCGGGGATGCTCGGGGTCCCACCTCCCGGGGCAGCGGCGCGTTTCCGCGCGCCAGGGCGGCCCCGGCCCCGGCCGGCTCTGGCGGGGGCAGCCTGCGCCCCGCGTCCCCGGGAAGTTGTCTCCGGAGCCCGCGGCCCCTGGGTCTCCTCCCCCTGAGCCCCGCCCCCCAGCCCTGAGCTGGGATCCTCCAGCCGCCCGGCCCGGGGGCGTCGCCGCTCTTTCCGCCGCGCCTGCGAGTCTGCTCTCCTGCGTGCACCGCGCGTGCCCTGCCTGCCGGGGACCCCCGCGCACCCCCGAGACCGCGCGCGCCCAGAGCGCGGGAGCCCGGGGCGACGGGCGCCTGGGACCCCGCGGAGCCGGGGCGCAGCCCACGGGGCTCGGCAGAGATGCAGGCTGCGCTGTGAGCTCAGGCGCGAAGGCCATGTCCGGCGCCCGCTGCCGGACCCTGTACCCCTTCTCCGGGGAGCGGCACGGCCAGGGGCTCCGCTTCACCGCAGGCGAGCTGATCACGCTGCTGCAGGTCCCGGACGGCGGCTGGTGGGAAGGGGAAAAGGAGGACGGGCTCCGCGGCTGGTTCCCGGCGAGCTACGTGCAGTTGCTGGAGGTGAGAAGCGAGGGGGCCGGGGCGGGGAGACCCTCGGGCGGCGGTCCTAGTTGCACGGACGTACCTGTTGCCGGCCCCGGGATACGCGGTCGTCCCTGTCCGTGGGGCGCTCCCGGGGCAGCTTCTGTCGGTCTGACCTTTTCACTCTTGGAGGTGGCCAAGGCAGCGAGCTCCCCTGTAGCCGCGGGCAGCGCAGGCTCGCCGCGAGCGCTCCCCTCGCGCCGGCCTCCTGAGCACATCGTGGCGGCTCAGAGGAAGCGAGAACTTGTTGCCTGTGTGAGTTCTGGAGCGGCGGGCGCGGTGCAGGCAGTGGCCGGGTCCGCCAAGGGCTGCCAGAGTCTGACAGTCTTGGAAAGATGCAAGGAGGACTGGGGCGCTGCAGCCCCTCTTCTCCAGCCCCGAACCTGCTGACCCCTGGGTTCGGGCTGCCTGGCCGCCCCTGGGCCGCCCACTTGCGGGGTCAGCTGAGCTCTGCTGGCCTCCAGCCGGACCCTCATCAGCAGGCTGGATCCAGGGTGCGGCAGCCCCAAGCCTGAGCCCCCTTCCATGGTCTCAGAATCTGAACGTAGCTTGTTCTAGGGTCTAGGGTTCTGGTGTAGCCCAAGGCTTCATAGAACCTGCTGAGCCAAATCAGCTGGCTGTTTATTGTCTAGGTGACAATTGAGAGGCCACACTGTCACAGGCTGAGTGAGAACCGAAGTTTCTAAAGTCCTGTGTGTGTGTGTTTATGTTGGGGAAGATAACTTTACAGGAGTCCCTTTTGCTAAAAGGCTGCCTGACCCCAGGATTGTTGTAAAGACCACATTAACAATTACTCCCAATTAAGCATTCTGGTAAAAACGCTGCCCAGATCCAAGACACTGAATGCAGTTATGATTTTACCGAACCTAGTTCACTAGAAACAAAGTAGCAAATTTTGAATGAAAATGCACCATTACAAGCTCATGGTGGGAGGGATGGGAGGGGTGGGGGCGGGGAGCTAGGGGTGAAATAATTCTGGGGTGAGTTTGCCCCAGGGGTATCCTGTGGCGACATCATCAAAAATAGTGCCTGGCCTCCTAGAGGCACATTTTATTTCTTGCAAGTCCAGAGGAAAACAACAAACTCCCTTCCTCCAAATGGATCAGTCGCATTTGAGTAAAGTTTACAGGCTGCCAAGGAAAGGCCAGAATGAGCTTTCATGGGCTGATAACAGTACGTTCTGGGAACTCTTCTTGCTTCTGTGTTTTGAGCAGCAGTACCTGCAGGAAAGGCCCAGGTGTGTTTCTTGGCTTTTCCTAGCCTTTCTTGAGATTTAGAGGTAAAAGAAACCAAGTATACTGCTTTCTGCAGGAAGATCTGGAGTCTTCAAGCGTCTAGCTCAAAAGCCCTGGGAGAGACACATATTTTGGGAGTTCTGGTGGCCACATTTTCTTGGAAAATACTGATGTGGATGTTTGGGCTGGTGATATCTGTTGGGTGAGGAGTGTCCCTGGCTGGACACAGTCAGCGGTGTTGTTTTGAGTGGGAGTGAGGCTGAGTGGGTGTCAGTAAGAATGGAATGGCTCTGCTGCTTTTCCTTGGGATGGGTGAGGGAAGGTATAGACCAGGCCCAGGGGACAAAGCAGAATTATTAGCTGGGACAGCCCTGGGTGTGTCAGTGCCCAAGCACCTTTCGGAACACTCCCAACTAGTAACTTGCCACAGAAGTGCCCACGTGTGAGCAGTACCACCGAGAAGGGTATCAGTTTGTTGAGCACCTCACTAGGCATGATATGAACATTATCAACAGCTCCCCTGTGAAAGGAGAGGTGCTATCCCCATTGTACAGACAAGCAAACTGAGTCCAGGCTCAAGGATTCATGTTTGCATATTACGTTAGCAGCTCAGGTGGCTAAATATTGTCCCTTATTCCTCCCTGGAACATACATAGTTGCCCAGGCTTAGCTGTGCTGAAAGGTCAATGAAGGAATCTGTGTAGCATAGCCCCTGAGGTCAGTGTGGGGCTGAAGGGAGGCTACAAGGCTCAGGCTGAAGTGAGGGCAGCTGTAGCAGTGTGGAATGTCTCTGATGCTAACCCTGAAGTTTGACTTCATTGTGAGCCAGCTGGTTTTCCCACAGGTGAAGGCAAAGGTAGGCCTGAGCACATGGTCTAAACCCTGAATGGGACTCTATGGCCTAGTGAGTCATGGTTTCAACATAGGATCGTGGATCAGGTTCTTGGTGTCTGGCTATCTCCTTACATGAGCAACCTCATCCTCAAGGCTGACGGCTGGGTACAGACAAAGGGTATACAAGTCCCTTGGGATTGGACGAGTCTTCAAAGATAGACTTAGTTGGAGAAGGTAGAGCTCCCAAAGGAGTGGCTGGTGGGAAAGGCTACCATTACATATAGAATTCTGAGACTGGAAGAGCCCAAAGGCAGAAGTTAGCACAGAAGCCAGGAGGGCAGATCAGGGGCCCAAGGTAGCGGAAGTGGTAAACCCCATGGGATGTCAGCCAGTGGGGTATCTGGCAGCAAGCTTGCTGGGGGCATGGAGTTCAGGAAGCTAGAAGAGCTGTTAGGGAAACAAGGCCATACATGGACCACACCAGTCTTCTAGGGCAGGAATGGGTAGTGGGTACCCAACTGGGAATTGCATCTCCAGCCTGCTCCTTACTGCGTGGGTGGAAGGAGTACAGCTAGTAAGCCCCATCTTAGTGGAGAGATGTGAGGCAAGAGCATGTGCAAAGTGGATACTCTCCAAGGGTTCCTCTCTCGTTCAGATGAAGAGAGGGGGTCCAGGAGGGGCTCCGAGGCAGATGTCACCATAAAGAGAAATTGGGAGGTAACTCTGAGAGGGCTGCTAGGTCTTCCTCAGGGGTCAGTCAGCCCATGACACCAGGCCATCTTAATGGAGGGTCTGGTTATTGGGAAATCTCTTTGGTCAGGACTCCAAGAAATTAGCAAAATGGTGCAGCACATACCTGACTTTCAGAAAATGGACTCCTGGAAAACCTCAGCCCAAGCAGGGCTGTATGGTGGGTCCTGTTAGGCCCAAGTAGTCTGGCCACAGGGGTCCTGGCTATTTAGGGTGTGGTACAGACCTTCAGAGGAACCAGCTACCCGCAGAAAATGAATAAGGCTTGGGTTAGTTAGCTTTCCATTGCTGTGACAGAATACCTGAGATAAACAACTTGCAAGAAGGAAGAGTCTGTTTTGGCTCATGGTTTCAGAGGTTATAGTCCATGGTTACTTGGCTCCATTGCTTTTGGGTCTGTGGTGAAGCAGAACATCATGATGGGGAGGGCATGATGGAACAAACTTGTTCATCTCATGGTGGCCCAGGAAGCAAAGAGAAAGACACAAGAAGGGGCCAAATAGCCAGGTTTGGTGGCTCACACCCTGTAATCTCAATGCTTAGGAGGCAGAGGCAGGAAGATCACTGTGAGTTAAAGGCCAGCCACTTGTGAGTTCAAGTCCTGGGCTACATAGTGAGTTCAGGGCCAGTCTGAACTACAAAGTGAGACTGAGACGTCTCAACTCCGACCCGCCCCCAAAAAGGGAAAGGGGCAAAGTCCTAACTTCCTCTTCAAGGATGTGCCACCAGAGACTTAACTTCCTCCCACTAGGCCCTGCCTTCTAAGACTTTCATCACCTCCCAGTAGCACCACAGGCTGGTGACTAAGCCTTTACCATGTGGACCCTTGGGGGACACAAATGATCCAAACCATAACGAGCCCTAACAACTAAGTCCCACAGCTGGCGGTGGGATATAAAAGCACTTAGATAAAAGCAGCTAAAAGAATCTTCAGTCATGAAGAGGGAGAGGAGTAGAAATTCTCACATCACTTGAAAGACACAGTAAAGGAGGAGCTGAGTTAATGAAGGGGACCTGAGACCAGGACTGGAGCCTGAGGAACATGTTTGCCAGCTCCAAGCCAGGCCCCCGATCACCTGCCTAGACCTGGAGTCCCCATATGTGGGGAGATTTCCACCAGGGTACAAAAATAGTTTCTGCAGAAGGTGGATAGAGGAAAAAGAGTCTGCATCTCCATCCCAGGGAACTTGGAGAGTCAGACGTGGTCCTAGAAAAAGTCCACAGGCTGGTCAGGTCCCATGGCTAGATGGCTGAACTGGGCCCCGGAATTCCTTGTGCTTGTTTTTGACTACAGGGAAGAAAGTAGTGACCTACAGGCTATTGGAAGAAAGACATCTCCAAAAACTCCCAGAGTTCTTGGGAAATAATTTTGGAGGGGTATTAGATTGGAATACAAACAAGAAGAGGTTTCCTTTAACTAGGTACTGTTGTTAGTATTCATAAGCTGGCTGGAAGGTCCAGACCTCACAGGTGCTGTTGGAATTGGAAGGCGTTCCCCAGAAGGCATGTGTTGGAAACTCAGTTCCCAGGGCAGCAGTGTTGGGAGGTGTTTAGGTCCTGAGAGCTTCACCCTCAGTACTGGATTAATGCTAATTATAAAAGGGTCTGACGTGATGAGTTTGCATGCTTGCTCTCTTGTCCTTCTGCCTTCTGCCATGGGATGATGTGCCTGGAAGACCCTCACCAGATGCAGGCACCTTGACGTTGGACTTGCTAGCCTCCAGAATTATAAGAAATACGCTTCTTTTCTAAATGACATAGTCTGTGTATTCTATTATAGCAACACAAACTGGACTAACACAGGTGTTAACATAATATGGCTCTGCTTGCTGGTGGAGCTGGCAGGGATGCAGAAGGTCACCTTTGAACTCCAGCTCCTCTCCTCTCTCTTCTGTCTCTCATTTTGGGTCCATGTGATTGTGCTGCGGGAGTTTACAGGGAGTGGCTTGTGGGACTCAGTCATTATTCAGGAATGATGCTTTATCTATTGCTAAGTAATAAGTCACCCCGGAACCTATGTTGCATAGTTCTGTAGATTGCTGGTGCTCAGCTTAACAGTTCTTCTGATGGTCTGTCTAGGTGTTGCTCATGCAGTCGTAATCAAATGGGGACTGCAGCTGGAATCCAGGTGGCTGTGTTGGGCGGGACCTCCAAAGTGGC